GAGTATTTCTTTTTTATGCTGGTTCTTATTAACTGGAGTCTTTGGCTCTGGAAGTACAAAGCCATCTCTTCATTATTCAGCAGACTTGGGAGTATATATATTCTCTTTGTTCTTTAATTTATTGGCAGATGCTTTGCATGAAACTGGAGTTAATGATTTAGATTCCAAACCGTTTGATTCTGTCCAATGCTTGGCAAACTGGAAAAAAAAAATCACTAGATAAAGTACAGTGAAGAAAAGTCAATTTCCTTACAACATGCTTTCATCATTTGTAGATTACCTTGTAGCATTTTTACTAAAATGAAATACTATCAAAAGGGTATTATTAACGATACCAAGAAATTTGAAAATGTACATTCCATTCTCTTTAGTAAGTGTCGATCACTTCAGTCTGTTCTATTGACAGGTAATTTTCAACATGTTTCAGGCCAAGTTTTCACTCAAATATACCCAAGTCCTAGGCAATATTGAGAATGACCACAAATAAATCCTTAAAAGTTGCTTCCTATACCTAGATTGTCATGGTCTGTCTCTTAATATGTACCAAAATAAAAGTTTAGTGGTTAATTGTGCAGAAAAACCATGTTAAAATACTCTAACAGAAATGTTGGATAGAAAATATTTTTTAATCCTTTTGAATTTATGGTTGAGCTTGCTAAATAGTACGGAAAGTTCTCAGAGGTCAAACTAAAAACAGGAGCATGAATCCAGAAATGTAACCAAGGATGAGACTCGCACTGTCCTAAGGGCATCTACCTACTATCCTGGATACCCTACGGCATAGGTTTTAACACTGTGGAAGCCTTACACCTATGCAAGGGTTAGACCCAAAACCCCCATGAAAAGCCAGAAAAGGCTATATCTAATATTTTTAAAGGGAATTAAATATAAATATGCCCTGCAAAGAAATCTGCAAGAAAATGTATCTATCTTGTCCTGAGCTCTGGAGGAGAAAGAAAAGTTTCCTTTAATAACTTGTAAGTAACCACAGGACAGTCTTCACATAGGCTTCAAGTCCAACTTCATACTATGTGCATGGTCCCTGGAATTGAAAGCCTGGAATTTAATTTAAAGTAGTCCTAAATTGTTTGTGTTCCAGGAGCAGGGTAGAAGCAAATACAACTCCTATCTAAAAGAAAAGCTTCACTCCAACACAACCCAAGCTCTCAATCCTTACTTAGTAGGTGCTGAGTTGGGGGGAGAGAGTGTTGACTATAAAGGGGCATGAGGGAATTTGGGGGGGCAACAGAACTATTCTTGATTTTGGTGGTGGTTACATGACTGTATGCATTTGTCAAAACACAGAATTGTACAATAAAATAGTGTATTTAACTACATGTAAATTATACCTCATTGAGAGAGAGAGAGAGAGAGAGAGAGAGAGAGAGAGAGAGAGAGAGAAGCAATAAAGTGCTCCAAAATGGAATCTTGGCTTTCTTCAACTTGGAAATAAATTGGCATCCCTTTCATTCTATTCCAACAATCTCTCATTAATGTTTCCTTTCTTTTATTGATTTGAGAGAGGAAGGAGGAGGGAGGGAGGGAAGGAGGGTGGGGTGGACGGAGAGAGAGTGAAAAGAGAGAGAGAAAAACCTCAATTTGTTGTCCCACTTACTTATGCATTCATTGATTGATTCTTGTATGTGCTCTGACCAGGTTTGAGCCTACAACTTTGGTGTGGCAGGATGACACTCTAACCACCTGAGCTACCTGGCCAGGGCTCTCATTAATGTTTTCAATAGTTTAAGAATTCATTAAGACCCTAGTCGATTTGGCTCAGTGGATAGTCAGCCTGCGGACTGAGCGTCCTGGATTTGATTCTGCTCAAGGGCACATGCCCGGTTGCGGGCTGGATCCCTAGTAGGGGGCATGTAGGAGGCAGACAATCAGTGATTCTTTCTCATCATTGATGTTTCTATCTCTCTCTCCCCCTCCCTTCCTCTCTAACATAAATACAAATATATTAAAAATAAAAAAGAATTCATTAAGCTTGCAAGGACATACTAGATACATTTTGGGGCCCAGATATTTTTATAATTGAGACAATATAATCTGCTTTAAGTAATAATAAAATTTACCAACCTGTGGTGTTTGGGGAGTAGCCACACCTGTTGATGAATTGTCGTCATACCATTCATAGTCTATTAATCCAGCCACATAATTTGCATCACTTGTGGTCATATCTTCTAAACTCAGGTTCTTTGACTATTCAAAAATAGAAGGATCATGATTCAGTTTTTAAAATAGCATATACCCAGTGCAGGGCAATGCCCTGGAAGCAGAAACAAATGAGAGATAGTATATTGAAGAAGCTTACCATTCATTACAGCAAACAGGAAGTAAAAAAATGTTAATTCAGGTGATTAGATGGGAGAATCTCTGACTCTCAAACAATATGTCTTAAAACATTCTTACATTTATAGCATACTACTTAGCTTGTCATTAGCAGGTAATCACTAATGCCAGACAAATAACTCCTCTGCAAATCTAAAAATAAAAAGCTCTGACAAAGTAGAAGATGGAAGAGAAACAACTTTGAAACATGGGCTGCTTAGTCGTAATAACATACAGAGTAGTTAACAATTTATACTAGGAATAAATTAGCCTTATGGAAGATGTCCTGGGGGCAGGATTCTTGAGGTCCTGACCTAATAATACCGCCAGAGTCATTTATTTTCCCTCATTCTTCCTCTCTATAAGCTAAGGCTATAGAGAGAAACATCGATCAGCTGCCTCCTGCACATCTCCCACTGGGGATGTGCCCGCAACCAAGGTACATGGCCCTGACCGGAATCGAACCCGGGACCCTTCAGTCCGGAGGCCGACGCTCTATCCACTGAGCCAAACCGGTTTCGGCAGGGGCAGGATTCTTGAGGTCCTGACCTAATAATACCGCCAGAGTCATTTATTTTCCCTCATTCTTCCTCTCTATAAGCTAAGGCTATACCAGATACTTCCTAAATTCTAAAACAATGGAACATAATTGGATTTTTTATTTCTCCGTACTTCCCTTTCCCTCAACATCTAGTTAACCTGGCCAGGCAATATTACTTGAATTTCTTACACCTCACCCTTTTCTTTTCCAGTCCCACTGCCACTGTTCTAATTCAAGGACAAATCTTCTCAGACCTGAACTATTCAAACAGATAATATGGTCTCTGTGCCCAGTCTTTCCACCCTCTCAACCAGGAACGACAGAGTTCTCCAGGACCGCCAATTACCATCAACTAGACCTAGCTGCATGGAGTGCTAGGCTGAGAAAAATACTAAAGTGAAGTCTGGGCTCAGTGGAGAAAAAAGAAACAGTGTTGTGTGAATGACGGCTGTCATGGGTATTAAAGTAGACAGTAACAGCACACACACACATATCTGACTAGACAATTCTATACACCACTGAATGAATTATTAAAAATTACAGTCATAGCAGCAATCGATATGTCATGTCTTGCTCAAAAATCCATGGTTCCCATTACCAAGAGCATAAAGTCTAATGCCTCTCAGGTGGGATTTCAAGCACTGACATAAACCGTTTAGGACAAACAGGAGGCAGCTCGGATATAACTGCACACCTTAGCACGCACCCTGC